TCATGAATCTGATCATATTTGCCTGAAACAGAACTTAACAGTTCATAGGGTGTTATTCAAAGTGAGTGTGTCTTTCCGATTAAATTTAAAAGCCATAAATATTTAATTTTAATGTTCCCACCTGCGACGGAAAGTGACGAAGCTCAGTAACTCGAATATATTCATCGATTTAAGATGAGGTGAATGTCTGTTGTGATTAATTAGTTTGTGCAATATCATCACAAAACTCGTGAAATTCCAAAGAATTAAGGTCGCATTTGAGTTTACGAGTTTAATATCTTTCGCAAATGTAAGTTTCATCTGCCTGTCAGCTTAGATTTAAATTAGTTTTGAGATTAACACACTTGATTCATGGTGAGACGGGAAAGAACTCGTGACTGCTGGGCAATTAAACTGCACTTAGTGGCACTAAGCCCAGTGTTGACACTCCCGGAATAGAATATGGTTTTCACTAGCGGCGAAAATTGCAGGGTAAGATTTGCGACGTAAAGTAGGGGTTCCAGCATCAAGGTCTGAGAGACCGAACTTTCCGCGGGTTTTTTAATTAAAACAGCTGAAGATTGAAGAAAAACCATACTTGTTTGAACGTTGTTTGAATATTTTAATACTATGCAAATTCCTAGCCCATCTTGAAGTCACCTGAGGTGAATTGTGTATTCTAAGTTCCGAATATTCATAAAACGTACCATGAGCTTCATTTTTTATTCTTGAAGAGATCAGAATTGAATCTGGTAGTAAATCAATGTAACTGAAAGGGATAAAGTTAAAGAAAAAGCTCACTGTCAGCCAATTTTAAAATACGCGTGTTTGACAAGAAAGGAGCACACATTAATTTGTATAAAGATTGTCGTGAGCTGCATGAATTAAGGATAGCAACCTTCTGTCTACGTTCAAAAATATTGATACATTTTTCACAAAAAAGGGTTCACCATGCGCCATACGATACATCTGAGACTAGTTCAGAAGCCAGACATTTTTCAAAGGAGCCTTAAGTCAACGTTTTTCTAGGATGGTCGACGCTTGCATACAAAAAGATCATCTTTTAATAAAAGACAGAGCTTTCGGCAATTCCTGGTCTTTTAGGGAATTGGTATTATCTACGTCTCTGAATTTCTATGTAAATTTAATTCATGTTGTTAGATACAAGGCATATGGTTCGTGTGGTAGTTACGATATTTTTTTTCAAAAGAATTTTGTTTGAATAAAGTAAAAAAGAGAGTAGACGCAAAATAATAGTATACATTTTTTTTGAGGAATACCGCCTGAGCTTTGGAGGGCTTAATGTTATAATACCATACTACGATTACTATTATATTATGAGTGCATAATACTCATTGAACCTAGTATTGACCATTTTCGCGTGGATTTTTATATCTAATTAAATTTCACCGTAAAGATGTGGCCCCTTTCCTCAGAGCCAGACACATGTTTTCCGTTTCAAGACAGGAAAAAGAACAGATAAACAAAACACTAGATTTGCAAAGCGAAAAATGAAATTTCTAGCGTTTCATCACGGAGATTTGCTCCCCAAGTATGTGGAGCGAAATACTGCTTAAGCCGAACGCTCTTTTTGTGTGGTTGATGCAACATCGGTATAGAGACTACGTCCTCACGTATCGTCTCAACTTTTCTTTCAGGACTGACTGCAAGTATCTTTGCAGCGTTAGAGTTTGCACCGATGATTTCATAATATTACAAAGTTTTAATTCATGAGAAAAAGTTGGATCAGGTTCTCTGATTAAGGGCTCATTCGTGAAAGTAACCATTCCACCGCAACTACCAAACCGCAGTTGGTGACAACTTTTCTCACCGGAGAGTATCATTTTTAACCCTCAGAGTTACACATCGACGGTGAAACTACCAAACCACGTATCTCGGTTGCGGTGTTTAAAAATCTACGCTCACATTTTACTTTTTTAAAGTAGACCAAATCAATATCATTCCTTGAAATTTTCACAGAATTTTCTCCGCACGAAGAGGAAAAATCACAGAAATTTTTAAGACTGGGCGTTCAGTAGTTATTCATTTAAAACATAAAGTATGACAGGAAGTCTGCGACGTCGCAAACCGAGATACGTGGTTTGGTAGTTTCACCGTCGACATGTTTGCACTGTAGCAGTCGGACGGCAACATTCTGGATGGGTGCGAGCACGAAACGGGTTGTTGCATGGCCAAACTACTAATATAAATGTTGCTTCGAATTAATTCATGAGAAAACCAGCCTGGGAGAAGTCGTGTGCAAGTGTGTGACGTTTCCGGGAGGGAAAAGGTCAAGCACTATATATGGACCGAGTTAAATAGAAAGGAACCAAGCCACATCAGCTATTAATTGCCAAATTTAATTGGGCAATTTAATTTTTTACATGAAAACGGTTGTGCGGATTTTCGTGCAAATGTCAGTGGAAAACTCCATGGTACGAAGCAAATTTCTTAAAATTTTCAAAGAAATCCGAACAAACGTTCTCTCGTAAAAAATGTAATTGCCCAGTTAAACTTGGCAATAGCTGATGTGGCTTGGTTCCTTTCTGTTAAACTCGGTCCATATTATCACTATATTTTTGTTAGTATTAGTCGCGGCAGTGGAGCTTTTGCATGTGAGGGGAAATTGCGATTTCAATTTTGAATCCCTTGTAAAGTTTTGCGAGGAACACAATCGTGCCACTAGTTTTCTTTGAAACAAACTTCAAAACTGTAAAAAAGCTCTCTAAGTCGAGGCCGTAATGTAGTGGATATCTCACTCTATCATTAGCGTCCCTCTCTGTGTATCAAATCAAACTACACGCAAAAGATATGAGCAAATGCATTTGCAAGGTTGCCGTGTATTCCATTTTGGAGTCCCCAAATAAAGTGACAACCCTGCTAATTTATTTTCCTCCTACTTTTTGCATGGAGAATTTGACTCGATGTAGAAGTGGACTCACAGGATAACGTGGGATATCGTCTCCATTAAGACCTCATCTTTGACAGCTTTTTTTGAGCTTTGGGATTCGTTACAGAGAAAACCAGTGGCACCATCGCGTTTCTTGCGAAATTGCACGTAAGTTAAAGTACCTAAATCTCTAATGGAGATGTTGTTTGTGTGAGAAATTTGCAATTTGACTATTGATTCTTATGTAAAAGTTTGCGAAAAACACGATGGTGCCACTAGTTTTCTCTGAAATCAACTCCCAAGCGCAAAAAAGCTCTCAAGTTAAGGCCAAAATGGAGGGGATATCCCACGCTATCCTCAGAGTCCACCTCTAGGTACATCAAGACAAACTCTCCATGCAAAGATAGGGAGCAAATTCATTAGCAGTACGTGTTTCCGTGTTTTCAATTTTTGAGTCCCCAAATAAAGTGGCAGCCCTGTCAAAGTATTTGCTCCCTATCTTTGCACGGAGAGTTTGTCTTGATGTAGAAGTGGACTCTCAGGGTAGGGTGGGATATCCCCTCCATTTTGGCCTCACTTTGAGAGCTTTTTTTAAACTTGGGAGTTGATTTCAGAGAAAACCAGTGGCACCATCGTGTTTCTCGCGAACTTTTACATAAGAATCAACAGTCAAATCACAAGTTCCTCACACATGCAACATCTCTATTCCCCACTTATGCAAGGCTCCATTGTACGTTATGGTGCTGTGCGGAGCTTTTGGATCATACTCTATGAAGAGGGAAGAAAAATACGTAATAAATATCGATACGCATCCTTTTGCCTCGTATGTGGCTCAGACCTTTGACGTCGATGGGAATACACCACACCTCATAGGTTACAACCACGAAATGGGCCGCAAAGGGGACCACAATGAGATGGTTGAGAGTTGCTGCAGCACAACCGCAAAGCCCGCTGAATTTTGAATTATTTACACCTGACTTCATCTCAGGCGCATCTCCCCGACGCTATTCATTTCGCTTTGCATTCATTTGTACTTACAGCTGCTCATTATTTTGGCTGCGATTTGTGACGCATGTATAGCGCTCAATTTTACACTGTTAGAAATTCACCGTTTACTCGGTTTTAAGAGGAATGGTGCATGAGACTACGAATCACACACCGAAAAAAATAAGGATGCTGACTCAACATTCTGGATGTTAAAAAGTGTGCGACAACTCAAAAAACGCTGAGTTAACCGCCATAGAACTGCTATGGCGGTTAACGCAGCGTTTTTTGAATTGTCGCACACTTTTTAGCATCCAGAATGTTAAGTCAGCATTCTTTGTTTTCTGTGCAGCGAACGATTCGGGGCAGTGCTGCCGTGCGAAGTGAAACAGCCGTATGAGCATTCAAATGATTCCAAATTTCTTCTGAAGACATATTTATTTTTGATGACGTTATGGATATTTTTACCTCGGCATTTTCAGACTTTTTAACTCAAATTACGAACGAAAGCCTCTGAAAAATCGGAAGAGAAATATTCACAAGTTTTCCTGAAAATTCGTGATTAGTCGGAGGAAATTCGGCAACGCCTGGTTGCTCAAACGCCATTTTATCTCAGTACGGCGGAGTAGTTAAGTACACTATCCTCACGAGAACTTTGACCGCATCAGAAGATTGCACCTTGAAAGAAGAGTGAATCTAGAACCGAGGTTTTTAAAAATTGTGCGGAAACTCTCGAAGGTTTATTGGAAAGTCCTTCACATGTTGTTCACTTTACATCCCATGATGTGATTTTGAATTCGGCCGATGTGAATGTAACCGCAAGTAGAGGTACACTGGCATTGAGTTCTTTGCCATAAATCTTGACAGAAAATGGCATAACCCATGAGATTTGCGAAAAATAGGTATACTTGTTTAAAAAAAAAATCACTTTCTCTTCCGGAAGTTAAATTCCATGGCTTCATTTCATGAAGCATTAAGCCCAACGAAGGCCAACTTTCATGCATGATGTGATAAAATAATAAAATAAAACCTAAAAGCTTGCAACTGAACTCATTGGAAAATCTGCTTCCGGCACCAGAGCGCGCCGAAGAAGACTCCGGAGGCAAGTTGCTAAACCGGGACAAAGAGGGAACGAGGAGGAACTCACCATAGGGCGGCAAGTCCGTGTCATGACCCAGCCATTCCGAAAACTGAAACAGAAAATAGAATATATTTGAAAAGTTGTAGTAAATTATAAAATCCACGGTGAGGAGGAAGGTGTGCATGTTGTGGAGGGGGTGAGGGAGGTGTTATTGGCGAGCAGCACGCTAGGGGTCGCGACCTGTATAAGCCAATGCTCCGTAAGGGGGCTACGCCAAGCAGGAACAACTTAACTACACGAAGCCTCAGTTTAAATTACGCGGTTTTTGCTTAGCACAGCGGTGGGGGCTGGGGGCATTCGCGGGGGCGGGGAAGGGCGCTGGGGGGTTGCTTCGATGCGACTGGCCTATTCCATAGCCATACTCTAATCAACTGCTTCCAGCCCGTAAATAAATGGGGCAGAATCAACTTTCGTGTTACACAAACTTTCGTACTTATGTGCATGAAACATTGTAAAATCAATAATGTTGTGTGTAACCATCCCGACGGCGCACGGTGGATCGAGTCAATAGGAAAGCTCGGACAGAATTTGGAGACTTTAAACGCTTATAACTCCGTTTATACAAAATTTTGAGGTTCTAAATGTGGTTTCATCGGCTCCCTCGTAAAATTTTCTTCTTAGAGCACCCCTTGAAATGTAAAATATGACAAAATAAACATAAAGATTTGTAGTTTTAGTTTAAAATTTTGTGTCCGACCTCTCTGATTGACGCGATCCACTGTGCAGCGTATAAACGCTGAGGAAATTACCTACTGTATCCTCCCCTGCCCTCTTTCTTTGAGTGTTCGAGCATCGTTCGATGTATTTGCTCGTTGTGGATTCTTCGCTCTACGCTAACCGATCAGTTTTTGCGCCCTTCTAATTTTAAGATCTATCTCAGAGGCTGTGAATGAGGACAATATGTCCACAAATCGGGCTTTGTTAGCTGGAGAGTAAATGTTTGGAGGTTTGGAATTTGAACAATCACTTTGAATATTATATAGACATAATTGTATAAAGCAGGCGAAACTGCCAAAATGCGTACCTCGATTTGAAAAAACGCAGACTTACTGTCATAACTAATTTTTTTGAATATAAATACATTCAAAATTATTTCATGAAATTTCCCTGATTTCTCCTCTCTACGTGAGTAATATTGCGTGAAAAATTTAAGAAAAAGTGTTGATTCATAGTTGTTCTGTGATAAAATAACATGAGGGGACCAACGAGACCAACACGGTTTGTGGCCGCCAACGAGATTTGTGGTTTTGACTGTTAATGTACTCTTCGGTACAATAATGCAATACGGAGGATTTTTAGACTAATATTCCTTTCTCGCTGGAAGGTGGAAATTAAGGAAAATATTGAGTATTTTCAGTTAAACTCCTTAAAAAAATAAACATTTGTTGGTCTTTTTTATAAACTTCAATCAAAGTTCCCTCGGCCGCAATTTTTAGTTTTGCATAAATACATAGAGTTGCTCCTTTAAAATAAGAGCGTATATGACTTCAGCAGGAAAGCGTATCTCCTTTTTGCAGCATTTCAAAATCCCCGTTTCTATTTAATTGCATTAAAAAAGGACAGACCAAGGCTTCTGCTAGACATTTTCACAAAATACTCTCAACACTCAAAGGAAAAAATCGAGAATTCCTCGAGCGATTACGGTGTTTTTTCTTTTGAAAAGCGAAGTATAACAGGAAGTCCACAACGCCATGAACTAAGATACGCGATCCTGCAGTTTCACTGTCGATTTGAAGATCGACACTGTCCATATGACTCTTAGCTTTCCAATCATTCCTTCGAATCCATGGCTTCCTGGAAATAAAGATGCGCTCTTACGTCAGAGCAGCGAAGAAATACAGGCGGGGTGAGTATGCACTCACACAAAGAAACCATATGATAAGTAAACTTTGATTTTGTAATAAAGTGAAAAATCGGTTATCTCGGTTATTTGGGCTTGACAGGACCGGACATGGCCGGGATGGTGAAAAGAGCAGTTAGTGCATGCTGGGATGAGCCTTGAAACATATAAAAGCATGTGCTAAGCATGGCTCATACAGAAATCTACTTACTGATCTCTTCGCTATCACGTCAGCATGGCCGGGATAAGCGAATACCCTCGTTCATACGGGATCTGCGATAACACCCCACGATGATTGTAGAAGAGCTCAGACACTTCGAATAGACCGAAAAGCTTCCTGTGTTTGAGATTGAACTTTCAATAACTTTATTTCCTCTTTATTACCTCCTCAATTCAAACGGTTTGTGGTATTTCGTCGTTCTCAAACGAGGGAACGTTACTCAATTGCAAGGATACAAGATTCTAGTTCAAACAATACCGTTTTAGGTTATAATAATTACCGAAGATATGACTGAAGCGCAATTTTTGTGAAACCATGCGGGTTTCACATTCTCAAACCAATTTTTGTTGGTTCATTTGGGGACAATGCTGTCATGCTTAAGAAAACGCCGTATGAACATTCGAGAGTTGCTAAATTTCCCTTGATAGAGCATGTATTTTTGACGCACAATTTAAGAATACTATCCCTGGAAATTTTCAAGTATTTTAGATTAAATTGCGTACAAAATTATCTGAAAAATTAGGAGGAGGATATTCATATTGACCAGGAAAGTCTTGTTTTATCAAAGGAAATTTGGCAACGCCTGAAGGTTTAGTCCTTAGCACGGCAGAATGGGGCTTAGGGTTAGATGTTCTGCCGTTCTAAGGAAAAACGTCATAAGAGCCTTCAGGCGTTGCAAAATTTCCTTTGACAAATCGCAAATTTTCGGATAAATTATGAATAGTTTCCTTCCGATTTTCCAAAGCATTTTGTTTGGGATTTGCTCCAAAAAACCTGAAAATTTCAAGGAAAAATATTCAGAGCATTCTTAAAAAAAATATTCTCTGATAAGGAAATTAGCAACGTTCGAATACTCATGCGCCGTTTTTACTTACCACCACAGTGTTGAAGAAAGCCAGGGATGACTGTCATGAAGAGAACTTAATAAGTGAATTTCAGCAAAATTAAGGCAAAATTGGGGAATCGGTTCTGGTTGAAACGGAGGCACAAGAGACTAGAGAGACCTCGGATATATCCGTGCTCCAGCTGAGGGCAGGATGACATATTGTCTCATTTAAAATGCAACGGCCTGTGAAAATGTTATAAATAACTGAGGCATGGCGAAATGCTACACTCAGTGACAGAAAATATGCGAGTTGGCCTCGGCAACGAAATTTCGCAAGTTGGTAACACTGGTTGTTACCCTCCATTTAAATGTATATAAAACAATCGATTCTTGGTGAGACAGCTTGCCTCACCTGAAATCGATATTTTCAATGGATTTAAAGGAGGAAGAAACAGTGCTGCCAATTTTTAGGAATCGCCACTGGGCCTCGCGCACGCCCGTCAGTGATCACGCTCAGAAAAGCATTTAACTTAATGCCTTCATTTCAAGCCGAATCAATCGCTTCATTAAGCACGTGAAGCGGCAAAAACGAAATATTACGCAACTCGACTGACAAATAAGACGAAATACAACTCAAATGAGCCTTGATTTCCATTTAATTTCGCGGTATCGAGGGCTCACTTAAAAATGTAGTTACAAGCTTTCGGTGGTCAAATGACGGTTTGTGCGCCGACTCAGATATTGCTTTTCATTCATTATCTTTGGCCTGCTCGGATCAAAGCGAAACAGTGGAGGAGCGTTGTCAATTTTTAACAGAATAAATGTATCCGGTTAAAAATAAATATCATACCCGCGATAAATTAAGGCTGATTAGATTTTTTATTGGTAAAATTACAGGAAAATCACAATGATAGGGGAGTGAGGGGGGGGGAGATGTGCGGAGGGACTCCAAATGACACAATTTGCGTAATCCACACCGCGCGATTTAAATTTCATAACGTCTGCAGGCACTTTTTTAAAAGTAATCAAGTTTGTCCAGAGAGAGGCATAAGACAATTTAATATAAGTAAGCGAGCTATGTCCAAAAGTGGTATCAATATTTCTCATGTACGACCTTGCAACCATACTAAAACCATTTGCGTTTGATTTTCCTGACTAAAGAAGGCAAAAATAAATGTATTAAAAAAACTGAATACTCATCTTTGTGGGAAGAAATTATTGAAATTTGCGATATTAAGTGTTTATTTAGCCAGATTTACTTAAATTCATCTTAAAGCAAACCCGAGGCAATGTTTTTTGGCGGCCATAGATCATACAGCCGTGCTAAGGAAGAACGCCGCATGAACATTCGAAAGTTGCCAAATTTCCTCACATAAAATATGTATTTTCAGGGAAAGTTATGCATATTTTCGGAAATTTTCGGATTATCTAGATTTTTTAAACACTATTGTCTAGAAAAGTTGCAGAAACATATTCAACAATTATCCAGTAAATTGTATTTTATGGAGGGAAATGCTGCAACAACTGAAGACTCATACGACCTTTTTCCTTGTCACGGCAGTATAGATCTTGACAGAGAGTGCCCGCAACGAGGCGGATATTTTCGCAAGCCATCTTGACTCTTTTCGCGATGCATTTACGGATGGGGCTGCACACAACACAGTGGATCGAGTCAATGAGGGAGGTCGGACAAAATTTGGAAACTTTAAACGCTTGTAATTCCGTTTGTACAGAACTTTGAAGTTCTGAAAGTGGTTCCATTGGTTTTCTCGTAAAATTTTCTTCCTAGAGCACCCCTTGAAATGTAAAATGTGGCTAAATAAACACCAAAATTTGCAGTTTTAGTCAAAAATTTCATGTCCGACCTCTCTAACTGACTCGATCCCTTGCGTATCGTATAAGAAATTATGGAGCATTCTCGTGAGCGAAGGACGCTCTGCGAAAAATCATTAAAAAATCAGCGAACAAGCTCATACTGCGTTTTAGAGTATATTATTGACATGAATGTGCCAGGTGTGATTTTTGCTCGATTTCAAACACACAAGTCTACTCAATGGGCTTCAGCTGCATCCCCTTTATTGCTAGAGTCCCATTTGGCAACAGAGACGGGCACGGAATGAACCGGACTCACTGCGGGTGGGCACGGAACAAGAACTAAACCGC